CAACCATAAAGTCCTTACTGTAATCCCCTCTCTTTCCAAGCTCAGTGAAGTGTTGGAAGTACATGTATTGATCCATGGTATGAGGAGTAGACCCAGTTTTATGCTGATTGATGCACTGGAGAATGAGATTGCAGGGTTCGACCTTAATGCCGGTCCGCTAGCCAAATTTGAGTAAAAACCGCGGCGGTCTAGCAAAAGCCCTCATCTGGGTAGTCCAGTAGTCCAGTAAAACAGTATTCTGAAATAAGCGGCGAAATCGTTGATTGTGATGGACGCCCTCTAGCTGCTGCTGGTTTTTGAACCAAATGAAATACAACCTTTTACAACCAAGAATAGTTTGATCCCTGGCACCAGCCCAGCAGAAGTAATATTGAAGTCTATGAATGCAGCAGCCTTTGCGGCGCAATTGCACTTTACTGTGGGCCAGTTACTGAACTACCGCATGTGGCCGGTACGTCTCGACAACGCTATGACTTGACGTTGGTTTTGCGTACAAGATCTAAATCAGCACATGCTTTCATGCATTGCATCGTAGAGGTACATGTAAGTCATGAATATGCATCCCACGCGTATAACGTGCCGAGTGTGTATGATGTGTGTATACGCATTACTTTACTGTGAATATGCAATACTGATTTTTCTGAATGTCATTGGTAGTTGTGAGACCAGCGATGTCGAAGTCTTGTCATGGTTGTGATTTCGTGTTTGGGTTGCGCGTACGGGTTGCACTACACCAAATACACTACACTCTTGGAAAGAGGTTGGCCTCCGTTTTTTCTCTAGAAATTCGCGATTGTAGCCAGAAGATCACTTTTCGTTTCAATTTTATGGGGGCTTAGCCACAATATGTTTTTTTATTCGCCTTTCCCGAAGATAACTCCAAAATAGTAATAAAACTGTGGGCTCAGCTGTGAGTGTAGCCACCCGACGCTTTTGAAAGAAATACCCTGAACTTGAAATTATCTGTCCCAAATTCAGGATTGATAGAAATATTTCTATGATCCCTCCTGATTATGGCGTGTCTTATTGTAAAAACCCCGTGGGATCACAAAATAATAATGAGCTCACATGCAGAAATACAACCATTTGGTGGAATGGACCTCATAGGTACTGGATACAGTCAAGAAGGAAAATGTACTGTATGTACATTTTGCCACATGTACATGCTGTACATACACATATTTGTGAGTGTACATGTGCATACTGCATAAAATGTACATGTACATAAACTGTTCATAATGATATGGTTTTTTTTTTCCTGTCTCTTGGATTGTGAATAAAACGGAGCATTTTCAGCAGGTAACCACTTTGTGTGTTTAATTTGCTTGAGTAGCGTTATATATATGAATATTCTGGAAATTCATAATTCCCATGGCCATTTATGATTACTCATCAACAATTAAACAACATTCAGCACCGAGTGCTGACTGTTATGCATGAAGTTGGAGCAGAAAACACTAATGCCAAAAAAGAAATTTGGGGGAAGACGCGGACTTGTGAAAATGCTGGCGGACTAGTAAAAAGTCATCACTGCTGGTCTGGCTGGCAAGTGAGAAAAAAAGTTGAGGGCAAACCCTGGGTTATGTGAGCTATTGTGTGTGAGAAAACAAACTGTACTATTGTTGTACATGTACCTGGATGTCATCTATACATATGCAACACATGTCTCCATAGTTTGGTTGGTTGTGACTGTGATACCACCTTTCCTTGCTGAGAACACACAGGAGCTGAACTACTGAAATTGGTCATGCATAAAGCAAGGAAAATGATAGACTGTACAATGTACATGTACTAAGGCCAAAAAAAATCTTTGTTGAATGAGACAAGTATCCTTAAAACTCTGGCTCTGCCAAATTTTTGGAAACTGGGCATGCATGTACAGACACTCCTTATCATTACAAAGGTGAAGTTTGAACTTGATCAGATGTATGGTTTTTGTTACATTTGTTAGTCATTTGAAATTCATGGCTACATGTACATGCGTGCCAATGCACTTGCATTGAGCACCACAGTGGAATAAGTATACATTTTGGGATAACCCATCTTGGGAAAATGCTCGCTGCGCTTGAATGGTATGTTTGATTTTTGCAAAAAGGGTGTCAAAATGACCGCAAAGAGTTATTCTCAAAACTCCTGAAGGCTTAACTAATGCACTGCGGCGATATCAGAAAAATGTAGAGGGGGGTGCTGATTCTGCCGCCACTCTTTTGTCATTAACGTATGGGCAAAAGAACATTCTATGTATTTGTATACACAGGTTTCTTGCCATTCTTTTTTCCTAGGGGCTACTGAGAGTTATTGAAGGGTAAAAGATTTAAGGCTTTTGTGAGTAGGTGTTCTTTTATGCTGAATTTGTTTTGCACAGTTTGCTTTGGCGCTGTATTGCACTTGGAGCTTTCACTCTGAGTGTGTCACCTTTTGTGTCTTTTGATGGGCAAATTACTTTTAAAATTTTGTCTGCTTCTATATTGCGTCTCAGTAAAACTGACCTTTGTTAAGTTGTTTGCTGGCATTGGGAAAATAAGATATTCAATTTGACATTGGGAGGCTTCTTTTGCTTTGTCACTTCATGGAGTTTTTTTAATTAGTTGTATATTGTGCAATCTAGGGCACAATTTTATTGCTGGAAAATAAAATCTTCGCCAGTTTCTCCTGTCAGAATTAAATTATTATTGCCTTCAAGCTTTCCCAACATTAATTTCGGATTGAATGAGTGAACCGTTGTTTTTTTGTATTTTTCATTTCAGTTTGCAGTAAGATGCCATCCTTAGCTCGAATCAAGAAGTTAGTTTCCATGTTCTTTGTAGTCTTCTGCTTCCAGTACATGGTCATCTGTTACATCTTTGCTCAGTCAGATGTCCCTCACAAGCACAAGCTGATCCCACGCCATGTCACCACCAAGGAGATTCGTGGACCAACCTATCATGTTCACAAAGTGGATCCCATGTCGCTAGCAATGCGAGAGAGATATGAGAGCCGTAGACTCCTTGTTGAGAGCAACAGGCCAAGGTTGATCTCACGACGAGAGATTCTGAATGAGTATCGTCAGCCTTCCTCTCCACGGATACATTCAACAACACAGACAGAATCCAGGAGATACATACCACTGGAGACAGAGACTAACAGAGGAAAGTTGCTTCACTGTGGGACTTGCTCATTAGTCTCCAATTCAGGTAAGTTGTTTGAAGTTTATAGAAAGGATTTCTGCACTCAGAATGTTCACAAGTGAGCCATTTGTGTTTGATCATGTTGATAGGGTGGTCCAGATGATAGTTGGTTGAAAGTCTTGGGTTCTGCATTTTCATGCTTCAAACCAGGTTGTTGGAGTCTGTAGGACACTTTGTTTTTTTAATGTTGATGTTACTTTCTGTTCATATCCTGTACCGCTATCTTAGGTCACATCCTCCGCTCTAGGATGGGAGATGAAATTGATGAAGCTGACTGTGTCTTTAGATTGAATGCAGCACCCACACTGGGTTATGAACGAGATGTTGGACGTAGGACAACTGCTCGTGTTGTGTCTCACAGAGGGTATGTTCATCCATCCATTTTCATCCATTTGCCATCCCAGTTAGAGTCTGTTGCTTCATTTTTGGTGCAACACCTCCTATCCTGCAGCTGCCTTTGCTTCGACATGCTTTTTGGATTTGAAGTGGTCAAGACGTGTCATGTTTTTTTCCACTCCACAGTATGTCTGTAGAAACTACAAAACAGTTTGTTCCTGATAGCATAATAGTCATTGTTAAATTTTGGCTTTGATGCACTGTATTTCGCTGGTAAAATAATTCCCCTAATTTGGTACTTCATTTCACTTCTTTTGGCATTTTAATAGCAAGCAGGCCGAACTATAATGATCCAAGATGAATGAAGAATGTTTACAACGCACTCAAACTTCACTCAGACACTGTACCGCCAGTACCTACAATGTCAACTCAAAATATGCACGCAGCTTGCATCATTTTATCCGAAATTCTGAGATACACGTCCTGCACATGTAGTCCGAATAAAATCCGAGTGACAGTGCAACAAATCCACTCCAAAAAGTAACGATCTTGTCAAAGTCCAAAATGATGCAGTCGCGCCTCGTGCGAAGAAAACTTTCAGCTAATACAAACATGTTTCGTCGCTAGTTATTTACTCTTGCATGTGGGCCATTGAAAAGTTAAGGCACCAGAGGAAAAGCTGCTGCATACATGTTACATGTATGTACATGTACAGTGGCTAGTGTGCACACTTGCATGCAGACCACGCACGCACCTTTTCAAGTAACGCTACATCCTACTGGTTCACGACTGGTATCCTGGTTTTGCATGGATTTATTATAGTACAATAGTGTACCATGCCACTGTGATCTTGGACTGGTCCCCGTCCCTATTGATATATTCATAAGCCGTGAGCCGTCTGGGCACTATATAAGGAATGGGACCCACATGATCTCCGCGATGTGGAGCCGGAGGAAATCAATACCGATTTCTGCGATATCGCAAAGGAAAAACAGGAGGGAAATGCTACCAAATGGTAATTTCAATGTGAGTTAAACAGTGAAAATGAGTTGTCATTCCTAATTTGGGTTCATACTTATTTGATTAATTATTGTGCAGAAACGATAAAAATATATTTTTTTTTTCTGAGAATGGCGTTTTCCGCTTTCTAACCCCAAATCCGTGATTTTCGCAGATTTTCTGCAAAGTGGAAATTCCTGACTTTGCCCTATAGGCTACATGTAGGGTTAATAATGTTGCACTCAATGAGGACTCCATATTGCTTCAAAAGAAGAGGACTACATTTTTTAACGTGGTGAACTCTACTCAGAATGGTTACCATTGTAGAAGGAATTGTTTTTCTTGCCCACTAAGGACATCTTCCCCAAAGTCCAGTGTCTCCCATAGTCCAGTGTCTTTCAGGAATCAACCAAACTTGATATGGAATTCATGTATCAACTGTTTCTACTATTTCAATAGGAAAATTGTGCATAGTTCACCTTCCCAATCCTGCAGTAGATGAGTAAATATGAAGTATGAAATTCCAGTGCAGACTACTCAATTGTTTTATAAAATATGTTGAGTAACCACACCTGCAGCTGTCACTGTCAGGCTAGTATTTACATATTTGTCTTTGTAGAAAGCGCTTACATAAATCAGATCTGGCATACAGCTGACAGGTCAGTAGTTGGCAGATTTATTGGCCCTTTGCACTGCTAGATTTAAAGTCAACTTACTCATCTCTTCTCATGTTTCAGCATGCGAGAGTTGGTTTCCAATGCCAGCACCCTGTTGGACAATCACCCCTCGTTGACAACTGTGTTCATCCATGGCCCAGATCACGTGTTCTTGGTGGGTTCCCTGCCTAAGTTTGTCAGTGGTCTGTCAACTAAGTATCCTAAGCTGGATTTCTACAGGCCATCTGATGTGATGGATAAAGAACTTGATGCCGACTATGAAAAGTACACCGAAAAGACAAGGTTAGATTTCAAGTGTGTCGTTCATGATGGAGATGCTCTTTGAATTTCTTGGAAATTGTTCCAGTTGTATTTTTTGGTTTTATTTATTTAACCCCTTGGCACCGGGAGGCGGCTATAGCCCCCGTAAAAATTGAGATCCTCAGCCCGCTTTTAAGCTATTATTCTCGGCCCACACTCGAGCAAACAGGGTGAAAGAAGGCAGACCCTGGCTCTTGTGTATATGGTAATTGGTCTTTGTGTGTAGCCCAGAAA